AAAATAATAAATAGATATAGATATATATCTCCTAAAAAGCTTTTAATTTGGTTTTAGGCTAGGTTCACACCTGTGCGGCCATGCGTGCTACAATTTGCTTCAGCACGAGAGCACATTCATTTGAATGGACTGCTGCGCCACCCGCACAGATGTGAACCTAGCCTAAGTCTTGACCAATCTCAAGATGTTTTCTGCATTGGTCATGTCAAATTAATAAATGCTGTCCAAATGCTACTTTGGTTTTTCAGGTTTTCTCAGAAGAGGAAATTAAGTTTGAATGCTTAAAAAACCATATGATAAACACATAAAAAAAAAGGCAGAAGGCTGTGGCAAAGACACGATAAGCCTGAAAATTCTTCTCGCAACACAAGCTAACACCTGCCAATGTACAGAAGGGTCAAATACGTGGCTAAAATACTCATTTTAGTTGTATCTAAGCCCACGTGAAAGAGGCATGATATTTTAGTTAGATTTGCACAAAGAAAGTTTTGAGTTTGATGCACTGTTTTCAGCGAATCTGCACCGTTGCCTTTTAGCACACACCAAACGGCAATGTGGTAGCGCACATTGCTAGTGTGAATGGGACATTTCTCCACCTACACAGGTCCGTATATTAACCACTTGATCTTCAAAATATTTAACCCCATTCCTGACCAGGCCATTTTTTGCTATGTGAAACTGCGTTATTTTATTTGTGCAGTCGTGCAATGCTGTACATAAATTAAATTTATTTAGTTTTTTTCCCACAAAGAGCTTTTTTTTGGTGGCATTTGATCATCTCTGGGTTTTTTTTATGTTTTGATATATATAAACAGAAAAAGAAGACTTAAAAAAAAAAAAAAAAAAAAAAAAAGAGAAAAAACACCCCACAACATTATTTCCTTTCTGCTATAAATATTATCCAATAAAAAAAAGTTTTTAAAAAGCCAATTTCTTCATAAAATTTAGACCAATATGTAGTCTGCTACATATTTTTGGTACAAAAAAAAAAAAAAATCCCAATAAGCGTATATTAATTGGTTTGCTCAAAAGCTATAGTGTCTACAAACTATGGTATATATACACACATACAGTTGTGTTCAAAATAATAGCAGTGTGTTGAAAAAAGTGAATAAAGCTCAAAATCCTTCTAATAGCTTTTATTTCCATACACACAAATGCATTGGGAACACTACACATTCTATTCCAAATCAAAACATGAAGAAAAATATATCAAATTTGTGTTCCTCTAAAAAAATGAAGAAAAGTGAATATTAGACTGTTCAAAAAAATAGCAGTGTTTGTATTCTTCTTTACAAACTCAAACATTCACTATATAAACTGAAAAATGTTTGAAGATTTTGCTTTCCTTTGAATCACTTAATATTTAGTTGTATAAGCACTGTTTCTGAGAACTGCTGTACATCTGTGTTGCATGGAGTCAACCAACTTCTGGCCCCTGTGAACAGGTATTCCAGCCCAGGATGATTGGACTACATTCCACAGTTCTTCTCTATTTCTTGGTTTTGCCTCAGAAACTGCATTTTTGATGTCACCCCACAAGTTTTCTATTGGATTAAGATCCGGGAATTGGGCTGGCCACTCCATAACGTCAATCTTGTTGGTCTGGAACCAAGATGTTGCACGTTTACTGGTGTGTTTGGGGTCATTGTCTTGTTGGAACACCCATTTCAAGGGCATTTCCTCTTCAGCATAAGGCAGCCTGACCTCTTCAAGTATTCTGATGTATTCAAACTGATCCACGATCCCTGGTATGCGATAAATAGGCCCAACACCATAGTATGAGAAACATCCCCATATCATGATGCTTGCGCAACCATGCTTCACTGTCTTCACAGTGTACTGTGGCTTGAATTCAGTGTTTGGGGGTCGTCTGACAAACTGTCTCCGGCCACTAGACCCAAAAAGAACAATCTTACTTTCATCAGTCCACAAAATGTTGCGCCATTTCTCTTTAGGCCAGTCAATGAGCTATTTGGCAAATTGTAACCTCTTCAGCACATGTCTTTTTTTCAACAGTGGGACTTTGCGGGGGCTTCTTGCAGATAGCTTGGCTTCACATAGGCGTCTTCTAATTGTAACAGTACTCACAGGTAACTTTAGACCTTCTTTGATCTTCCTGGAGCTGATTGTTGGCTGAGTCCTTGCCATTTTGGCTATTCTTCTATCAATTCGAATGGTAGTTTTTCCCTTTCTTCCACGTCTTTCAGGTTTTGGTTGCCATTTTAAAGCATTTGCGATCATTTTAGCTAAGCAGCCTATCATTTTCTGCACTTCTTTATATGTTTTCCCCTCTCCAATCAACTTTTTAATCAAGGTACGCTGTTCTTCTGAACAATGTCTGGAACTACCCATTTTCCTCAGAATTTCAGAGGAAAATGCACTGTAACCAGCATGTACAACATTTGCTGCCTTCCTTCCTTAAATAAAGGCAATAATTGCCACCTGTTTTTCAAAGAATGAATGACCTCACTAATAGAACTCCACACTGCTATTATTTTGAACATGCCCCTTTCAATTAGTGATTCAATTACACAGAATCAGCAGCATGCATGTCATGACTGTTGGGTCTGTTGGATTTCTATTACTCTACTACACCTGCTAGTAAATTATTTGCCATGTAGAAATATTATTTCTACCAAAAACAGTGATCAGGCTAGTGATGTCTGGCTGCTATTATTTTGAACACAACTGTATATAAACTGGAATTCTTTATTTTTTTAACTACTAGTAATGGTGGTGATCAGCTACTTATAGCGGGGGCTGTGATATTGTGGCGGACAGTTTGACACAGTTTTTGGAAACCAGTGACACTAATACAGTGATCAGTGCTACAAATATACACTGTACTAATGACACTGTCTGGGAAGGGTTTAAACATCTAGGGTGATCAAGGGGTTCACTGTGTGCCTAGCTATGTTTAAATGTATATTGTGTGTGCGGTTTTCATTAGGTGAATGCTATTCCCTTCTGTGAAGGGAAAGAAAATCCAGCACATTACCACTGATAGAACACAGCTCTGCCTTGTTTATGTAGGCAGAGCTGTGTTCTGTCTGTGATGGTGGTAATCCATTAGTCGGCACCCACTGATCGGCTTCTGCTATGACAAACCACAAGGAAGTCCAAAATCTCACACAAACACACACACACACACACACACACACACACACACACACGATTTTGCACAGCAGGGCCACCCTGTAGCAGTACATCTGCTATGGGGCGGTTGACAAGTGGTTCGTATGCAAAGCACCATAACGTTGCAGGCACTGCTTGAAGACAGTGATGAAGAAAGCACTAGGCAAGATTTACAATTTTGGCTAGGAATGCAGCTCTGAAGACATTTACTTCTTTTAGAGTTTAGAAAATGTTACATTGATGCTGACAGTAAGGAATGCACCCCTGACATTACAGCTAAACATAGTTCTTGCTTTAGGAGACCTCATCCTGAGCTCCACTCTGTAGGGGACCATGGAGTCCTGTGCCAAATCATCTGTCTCCGGATGACAACATGGATGGCTGGAACAAATTCAGAGCTTATTATTTCAACCCAAACGGACAATAATAATGTATTTATGGAACCTGGACTGATATGAATGGGCACAAATTTCTCAGCACAGAACAGTCTGCAAATGCTATTAAGCTTCAAAATCTTTTATATCTATATTAGTGTAGCAAAATATTTTTAACCTCCATTCTGTAAACTATACACATATTGAAGAACCATGGACTATTGAAAAGGTGTTCCATTTTCAAGCAAACAAAAAGGCAAACTTCTGCTGATCAGCTGACTGGAACAAATCTAGCGGTCTGTGGTTTCAAGTTAGTTTTCTTTGTCTGAGAAGAATTCCAACACAACTGTGGTCTTAGAAACCTTCTCTCTTATATGCACTGCTTACATCTTTAAAGGGTCAGAACCCTCAAAATTATTTCTTTTTTTGGCAGAAGCTTTAGAGGTAAATCACCTAATAACTTCTTCTGTCTTGCAAGTATTCCTATACTAAACTTATAACTGGAATATTAGCTTTTGGTGGATTAACCCTTTAAATTACAAAAATTCTGAACATTCTGTGTAAGGTCACATGTGCTTAGGCACCACTGGAGTTCTTTTTTTGCCACACAGGAGCCTATCAAAAGTTTGATATGTGTACCATGGCGATTTCTGGTGTGAATTACTGCATTACCTTGGGGTAATTATGGGTTTGGTCCAGACCTGGAAGTTAGCAGTCATTAATGGGTCAAGGAGCTGCAGGAGAGAGATACCCTGCCCTGCAGCTGATGTTTGCATACAGGTGTGCTTGCCGGTGACATTAACCTAATATGGGCAATGGCCATATTGGGTCAATGTCACTGATTTGATATGGCCACATGATCTTTGATCTTACAAGCATCTCTGCCCCTTTAGTTATGTGCAGCTGCAAGGTAAATAGGCTCATCTGCAGTTTATTGGCCTAGCAATGATAAGCAACATCTGGATTCGGTCTGAAACTAAGCTCATATCTAAATCAGAATTCATTTGTCTTACACTGAATCATAAGTTTTGACCGGGTCTAATGCAGTCACTGTTAAGCAGCCCATACACAGTAAATTTCTTTCCTGCAACCATGGGTTGCAGGCAAGAAATTTGCTTGATTCCCCCAACAGCCATGCCATTGTGTTACTAACCACATGTAAAATCTGGCAGGTTGATTGTACCAAAGTTGATTGATCAATCAACTTGGTACATTCAGCCTGCCCGAACTGCCCAGGGGTTCAAATCATCTATGGCCGGCCTTAGGGTTTTCACCTCAAGCTGTCCGGATACAATAGTTGGCAACCATTCTGCTTAACGGCCTCCCGCCCGCCATATAGTAATATGATGGATGCAAGGTGGTTCTCTCGTTCTGGGAGGACGTCATATGACGTCCTCCCATTCTAACCACGCATGCGCGGCTCCCGGAGAGCGGCGATTGTTGGTGAGCTGTGTCCTTCGGACACAGCAGTCACCGATTCACGGAAAGAGCCGAAGATGTCGGCTCGGTCATGTCCAATCACAGCTGATCACATGTAAACAGGGAAATGCCGGTTATCGGCATTTCTCTCCCCACGAGCTGTCACGCTGACAGCTCGAGAGGAGAAGAGAGCCGGTAATCGGCATTCCTCAGAGAGGACATGTACACAGATCATCAGAACACTGATGATCAGTGTGCCCTGATGATCTGTGTAGCCCCGGTAGCACCACCTGTCAGTGTCCATCAGTGCCAGCTCTGTGCCCATCAGTGCCACATATCAGTGCCCATCTGAGCTGCCTTTCAGTGCTGCCAGTCAGTGCCACCTAACAGTGCCATATATGAGTGCTGCCTTTCAGTGCCCATCAGTGATGCCTGCCAATGCCCATCAGTGCCACCTACCAGTGCCTCCTCATCAGTGCCACCTATCAGTGTCCATCAGTGCAGCCTATCAGCGCTCATCACTGCAGCCTCATTAGTGCACATCAGTGAAAGAAAAATCACTTATTTACAAAATTTTATAACAAAAACTAAGAAAAATTTTTTTCAAAATTTTCAGTGGTTTTTGGTTTAAGAAAAAATAAAAAACCCAGAGGTGATTAAATACCACCAAAATAAAGCTCTGTTACAAAAAAAAATGATAAAAATTCATATGGGTACAGTGTTGCATGGCCGCACAATTGTCATTCAAAGTGCAACAGCGCTGAAAGCTGGAAATTGGCCTGGGCAGAAAGGGGGTATAAGTGCCCTGTAGGCTAGTGGTTAAACAGCAGATAGGGTTTATAGAACATTCTTTTAAGAATTTTTGTGTGAAATTCTACCCATTAGTGGCTAGCCATGCATGCATAGATTTTGTTCATAGAAAATTTGTTCATTTCTTGAATCATAAGTGGCTCAAATTAATGTTCATTATCAGACCTAGTGATGAGAAAATTTAAAAGTGCAGGATGGAAATTTTTTCTTGAATGAACAAATTTATCAGTGTATGTTGTTCATTCAGCAGTCCATTCACTCCAGAAGCAAAACGTTAAAAGCAAACAAAATCTTTTGAACAACATTTGAAATGTTCTAAAATTTTAGTATGAATTTTCCAAAGACTTTTCATTTGAAATTCTATCCATCTATGGCCAGCTTTAGTTGACTTTAAATATTGATAAGGTTTATAGGAGGTCTTCCATTGTGCTCTTGCAGAGCTTTGTTGTATGAGCAAAAAGTGGAAATTCTCTTCATTGCAGAAGTGAGAATCAGTATAAAGAGTTATCTTAAAGTATAAGTAAAGGCAAAACCTTTTTTTTTTAGATTTGGATAGAGTGGAGAGGGATTAGAGCACTTCTCAGTTTTTATTGCCATCTGTGTCTCCATTGGGAAGCTTCACCCTCTCTATTTGTCCTGTTTACCATGATCACTGAAAGTAAAGAAAATCCCAAATTTTAGGTTGTCCCCAGAAAAGTAGGAGAGGGGAAATGTTCCAATGGGGATACCAGTTCCCATGACCTGGGGGTCCCAAAGGAATTCCCTTAAAGTGATTATGCTTTAAGAAAAATAAATGTGCTGTGTGCAGTGGATTTGTACAGAGCAGCCTAGATCCTCCTTTTCTCAGGTCCCCTGCAGGCTCTCCCGGCCTCTCCCTGCACTCAGGTGCCCCCACAGCAAGCAGATTGCTATGGGGCACCCGCTGCTCCATGTGTCCACACACACATGGAGCTGTGGCTTAACCCCACTTCCGCTTTCTTTTCATTGGCTGTGATTGACACTTCTGTCTCAGCCAATGAGAAGAGGGAGTCCAGGGATATCTGAGACTCCAGTGAACATTGCCAGATTGAGAGGGCACTTAGGTGAGTAATAGGGGCTGGTGCACAGAGCAGGTTTTTTACCTTCATGCATAGAATGCATGAAGGTAAAAAACCTTCAACCTTTCCAACCGCTTTAATTTGCAGGAATTTCCTCCCACTTCATGTTTGGCTATGGAACTCTCTGCAATGGGACACAGATGGTGAAAAAAAAAAAATAAATCTGACAGGGGTTATAAACCTCCATTGTTCTATCAAAGAAAAAAAAATTTGCCTATAGTTCTTTAAGTTGGGCATACATGAATCGAAATTTGGCCAGTTCAGTGGGGACTGGCCAAATTTCAATCCATGTATAGGCAAGCTGGTTGTACAGAAGTCAATCCACTGGTCGACTTATGTACAACCATTCTGTTGGAAAACCTCTACATGATCAGCGCAACTGGCTAAAGTCTTGGTAAATGGAAAAAAAAAAAAAAAAAACAGACTAAATGTATGGGCTACCTTACCAAATTGACCTAATGAATTCACTGCTTTTCCAACACCCCTCATTGTTAGAACACCAGCTAACAATTCCCTGATTTCAATGGATACAGCTACACCCTACAGTGGAGTCCATGATTTTACAAGGTGTAAGAACTAAAAATTATGAAGAACTCAAAGTGAGCAATGTATCACAAAGACCAATTATTTACACAGCATTACTAAATAAAGCAACACCTGACAAGTCTGAGTCTGGTTTCAGGTGAGCAAAGATTTATTTCAACACTTCGTTACTGCTACAGTGTTAGAACCTAATGAAATGCAAACAGTAAGTAATAAAATGTGTTTTAACAGCTCAGTGAATGTCATGACGTGGATCCTAAGCATTCTAGGCAGATGATATAACAGGACTAACTCTTCAACACAGGCTAATCTGATTTGCCCTTTAGATATGAAACACCTTACATATAAAAATACTGGATGTGTCACTGATTGAGAGAATCAGAGAGCTAGGCACTTTCATCACGTACAGAACTGGTTTCTAGCAAAAAGGTGGGAACAGGAATGGAAATGTCCTAGAAGGTAGCAGAGGACAAGCCACATCCACTGCCCACTATCCTGAGGATATATTTTCTATGTACTGTACATGACTGTTACATTTCAGCTCTTGCATCTGCTATGTTGGGGGCAAAATTACTAAGAAAAGCTCTAAACCCTCTAAAATATAAGTATGGCCAAAGCTTTTTAGGCTATACTTCTCACAGGCTATTGTCTGAGGCCCTAGAAGGATCCCGACAATATTGCCGGGACCCACCCAGCTACCTGATTTACAGCAGGCTCCAGATGTCAGCATGCGGCTTAGAGTTAAAGCCAGCTATGCCTGCCTTCTCTCCTACCTGGTGCTGGAGGGGGAAAGTGGATGGCAGTGATGGACAGTCACTGCTCTCCACTCTGAGCAGATTGAGAACTCAGCAATCAGCAAGCTGACATGCATCACTCCGGATTTCCCCTTTGTAGATGGCACAGATGGAAAAACACCCAACCTAAATTTTATGGAAAATAAAAAAAAAAAAAAAAAAAAAAAAAAAAAAAAAGGAGGAGGAAGGAGGAGGAGGAGGAGGAGGAGGAGGAGGAGAAGAAGAAAGACAGGAGTGCTCAGTCACTACCCAACTCATGCCTGGCCAGGTATGCAGCCCACTTTCTTTGATTTTTCACCAGCATTGCTATTTCATAGTGCCTGAGTGGCCAGGACATAACTGGGTCTTCAAAAGGGCATTTTGTGCATGCAAAGTGGATTTAGGCCCCTTTCAGATGGGGCAGATCCATCAGCGTGATCCACCTGCTCAGCAGGGGATCTCTCCACTGATCCCTGCTAAGCAGGCAGATGACAGGTCTCTGTCTGCTCTGATGCTGCAGGCCAGACACAGAAAATGCTTGATGATTTCAATGGGACGGTCAGATGGAAACGGACCGCCTGTCCGTTTTCACCCAATTGTCATCCGATCTGCTGGATGGATGGGGAATGGATCCCTATCCGTCTGGTTTTTGGCTTACAGGATTGGATTGGATGCTGGCAGGTGTCAGCACCCTCAACTTAATATGTGGTAGCACACCCCTTGGAAAAAATAAATGAAATAAATTGCTCCCCGATTTCAAAAGTGACAGTGGCTGCAGAGGAGAAAAATCCCTGCATGTTTTAGGGTTTTGGGGGGCGGGGGGGATTTGTGCATTTGCACACTAAATACAAGTGTAACATAACATGGGGCACAAAAGATGGCGTTGGTCTTTAAAAAGTTGGAAAGAAAACAGATTAAGCCATTAGGCACGGAAAAGTCATTTTATAGGTCACTAGGACGATGCAAGCTAATTTTTTCTTTTATTACGAAAGGAAGACAATCGTGTGAAAGAGGGTCAGAATGCTGCTGAAAAACTGGTTAATCCTGTAAAAGTAACATTACACCATAACAAATTGAAAATGTTTGCAGCTTATCAAAAAGATCTTTTGTGTACTGTATCAAGACAGAGTCTCTGTGGTATGCTCTTGTTTCCTGGAAGTGTTACAAAGTAGGGGTATTCACGGGCTCATGAAAGCAATTCCGGTTTCTGTCTAGTCATATGAAATTCACATGTCAGTTGTAAATAAATAAAAGATCAATCAAGGACTTTTAGAGTAGTCCTACACATATATGCCAGCATATTGCAGATAATCAATAATAAGCATAATCAATTATTTGCCTGCTGATTTCCAACCCCCAAATTAGATACTTCTGCAGCCTAAAAAGGACCCAACATTTTTTGTCCTTTTTTTCTACCGGGCTGTAGTATTTTATAAAATCATTGGTATGGACTAGTAAGCTGTGTAATGAAATAAATGCAGTGCACCAACTTGCAGGGCAATACATAACACACACAATACATAAGAATTGTTTGTAGTTCAATTTCAGGCCTTGCTGCTGCTCCCCTTGACCTAACATGAAAGCCTGAAACGGTGGTTCCTATGTCTCGGTTGCAATGCTTTGCTGCCCAGCCACAGCATAAAATATACCACGTGTTCAAGAGGCGGTAACGCTTCCAAAACGCAACCCATTCACATGAATGGGACCACGCGACAACCACAATGCAACTGTGTAAAAATTAACGTGGTTTTGGCAGGGTGCAGTGGGCTTTCAATGGTTAACAGACATCCAAGAGGCGACATATTACCTCTGAACTACCTGTCAACTGCCCTCTAAAAAGAATTTCACCGTGGATCACTTTTCAGACGGCACCACAAGTGTAACCACTTGCCGACCGCAATATGTATATGTATATATATATATATATATATATATATATATATATATATATATTATACATATATATATATATAGACACGTTGTGCTTGCAAGTGGTTTACCGGGGTTATGGCTGAAGCCATCAGTCATAACCCCAGTATTTTTTTTTTTTTCATTTCTCCATCTCATGAAAGCTGCCTGAGCAGCTAATTAGCCGCTGGATCGCTTTCAGGCTCCACGCACACTGGGCGTTTTGATAACGCTGGTAACGTTAGCTTTGTAAAATCACGTTAAAAACATTAGTTTTTTTAAATCATTTTTGCATTAGCGTTTTGCCACTTTTTTTTTTTAACCAAAAGTCGTCTAAAAACGCTGGT